GTTATGTAGGACATTGAGAAGAGGTGAATGACCAATTTACTTAATAATTCCTAACTTCTAATAAAGGAAGAGCTGATTGGAGTATTTTAAGAGTGTTGGTATATACTTGATAACTGCTACCGTAGTACTTCTTTGTTCTGTTATAAAAAGAGTATTTTAAGACTTGATAAATTGTCTAATAAATGGTCTTAATATTTGAAATAACTACCTCAAATAAACTGTTACTGTAGTACTTTGTATTGTGTGCACATAGACTTAGTTGTTCTACAGTAGGGGACATCTATAACAGTTTCTTTGGGACAGTTATTTCTGCAACCAACTCTGTATCCTTTAAGTCTTAGCTTAGAAATGGACATATTCAAATTGAGAATACCATTCATTTCATAAAAAAGATTTTCTTTTTCTCTCTTTCGTCTGTTTTACTCTCATCATCTTAAATCCCCAGATCCAAACCTAATGAAGATTTACTTTGAAATAGTTGCTTGATCTTGTTCACAGACTATCCCGCTATTAGACCAGTTTCATGTTTTCAGAGAAAGATGCTATTCTGGTGTTTTTCGGGTGACTATTCTTTGCATGCTATGTTCTCTGTTGTTGAAATTCTACCTTGTTTTCTCTTTCTTCTCTTTTGACTTTGCATCATTGTGCTTCTCCTGCAAGTGCTTTCCATTGTTGTTTCCTTTATCTTTATTGGTTCTCTTAAATCTGTCACCTCCCAATCTGTTTTGGGCATTCAGACTCCTTATTTAAGCCCCCACGAGCTCTGGTTTGAGTTTTTGTCATACAGTTTATAGTCTTTGTTCTCTTGATTTTTTATTAATATGAACTTGGGATTAGTTAAGGGACCCGATTCCTCTAATGTAAACAACTCACCTTAGCGTATATAGTGAGTATTCTCAAATCAAGGATGTATATTAGATGCACATGCATAATAAGTTATAGGTGTGTTGGAATCATGAACACGATGGGTTATGTCGAGATTCCCGTTATTCCACCAGTGATTGTCCACACTCTAGATGTCCAATCATGGATGAGAGAGGTGTGTTGAAATCCCATGTCGACTAATGATATGTCCTAAGTAGCCCTTGTAACTATAATGCTTGAGCAATCTTCACCGCGGAGCTAGCTTTAGTGGTGGTGTTAATCCTAAAGCCTGAATTCTAAAAGTTTTCTACAGCCCAACATCTAGTCCTATTCAACATTACATATTTAGAGTTGTGCACTAAAGTTTTCCTCGAACTCTGAGTGGTCCATTTCTGTTTCAGATCACAGCCGGAGCATTCTTCCACTCTACTTGAATCCTATGGTTAACATCTCCCTCTATCAAGTATCACCTCATTACTTTGTACGGCGAACCCAAGGTACCTAAAACAAAGACGTCTGTATCATATGCTCTACAATCTTCTCCTAAATTAAGAATTGTTTCTCTATTGCCATATAGAAACACTTAAGAAATTTAACAAAACACCTTCTGAAGAATTAAAACAAAAGCCATTTTTCAAGATTAAATGAAGCTTTTGTTAATTCAACAACAACACCGAATAAGCTTATACATATAGACACATATAGTTGTGTCACTAAACTAGTACGAAGTGATATTATGTGTATGACCATTGTTAAGCAACAGTGTTTTTTTACTTGGAAATTGTGAAGAGGGGAAAAATGAATGAGTTAAACTTACTGAGAAACAAATTTTTTTATTTTAAAGTTACTGGGCAAAAGTGGCTGTTATGTAACCACAGTTTTAGTCTTGAGGTTATTTTGTAGTATTGTATTAGCATGTGAGGGTCATTAACATCTCTGGACATGCATTTCTTCATAAACCATAATGAAATTTCTATCTTCCACAGGGAGTCCAGAGTGATGTCAGAACAAGCTCTGGTATGTTTTTGAATGGTGCGGAGAGAAAATATCCTATGATACAAGTAAGTTATCAAGTTTACTTTACCTCTAACTCATACCTCATCGGTTTTTTATCAAATGAGTGTTAAAAATATGTATTACACGAGCCTTTTTGTCCATTATTGAACGGTTTTTGTGGTCTGATACACTTAGGAACCTTTGTTGGGTGGTTAATGGTAACTAGTTTAATTTTTGAAACACTGGACCTCACCTATGATCCTTTAGGTTACATACCTATTGTGTGACTGCGTCACAATCAGGAATAGAACAATGTGATCCCTACATTCATCTGATTAATATTTTATTGATTATTATTAGTTGAACAGTCTGATAAAATATGTTGCACTTCCCAACTAGGCAATTGAAAAAAGAATTTCTGTCTATTCTCAAGTACCAGTTGAAAATGGAGAGCTTATGCAAGTCCTAAGGTGAGGATATGACTTATTGTTTTACTAAGATCTGAACTTGATGGGTTTTGCGAGTATCAATCTAACATCTGCCGCAGCACAGGTATGAGAAGAATCAATTTTACAAGGCCCATCATGACTACTTTGCTGATACGGTGAGTATTCCTGTCTTTGTTATATTTCACTATTATAGATTTATAGTAAGCGTGAGAATCACCTCAATTGACTTCAATAATCATCCTCACCCCTCTGTGCCTTTTTGGAGACAGTTCAACTTGAAGCGTGGTGGGCAGCGAGTAGCTACATTGCTTATGTATTTAGGTGACAATGTTGAGGGAGGAGAAACACATTTCCCATTGGTAAGCTTCTCATTTTCTGAACTATCATGTTGGCATGTTTAGGTAGATGCCGTTTACATTGGTTTGATGCATATGAGTAACCTTAATCTAAAGCATATATGAAGTGGCATGTTGATGCCACAATTGTGTATGGATCTTAACTCTAGACTCTAACTGAGAAAAACTGTGTTTAATTTTGACGAATAACAAGATGCAATGCGTTTCAGGCTGGTTCAGACGAATGTAGCTGTGGTGGAGAATTGTCAAAAGGGATATGTGTGAAACCAATTAAAGGAAATGCAGTACTTTTCTGGAGTATGGTTAGTATAACTTTTCCTTTTGAAGAAATCATTCACGGGTAATTTTCTTAAAAGCAATATATTTGTGGTTGGTATTCTCAGGGACTGGATGGACAGTCAGATCCGGATAGTGTTCATGGAGGATGTCCGGTACTCTCTGGGGAGAAGTGGTCAGCTACAAAGTGGATGAGGCAATCAGTTCACAATTGAATTAGCTACCTATCACCAATCAAAAGTAGTTATTATTATTGATAGTATAAATATTAAATAGACTACAGAATAATATGATATTGTTAGATAAACAATGGATGATTTCATATAATATCATTGGTGTCTATTTAACCCACTAAAAGTTTTTATATAGATTCATTCTCATTCACAACACAACAAATAGACTCGTATATAACCTAATGAAAGTATATTTTTATTAATATTAATATTACAAATTTATATATTTTTATTAATATTATAAAAATAGTAATAAATCATAAGTTTGATATAATATATAGTATATTAAAGTTAATATTATAAAATGAGAGTGATCGATTATGATTAGAAAATAAAAATAAAAAGATTAAATCGAACTAATAAATATTATTAAAAAAATAATTATCATCTAATATGAAATTTATGTAATAAATCATACTAATAAAAAAATAAATAAATATATAAAAATGTATACATGAGGCTAAGTTCGGTTTGGATTTATTTTGAAAAATTAATCCGAAATTTAATCTGAACGGAACGGTTTTCACAAAATGACATACAAACATTCAATAAAGGTTTATTTAGTCCTAAAGTCTCATAACTTAATTTTATATTTTAATTTGGTCTCTTATGTAATAACCGTTACAAATAAGTCCCTTAACAATACTTCCGTTAACTAATTAGGTCTATTAAGAAAATTTTAAGTTGGCTGACGTGGCATTACAACAAGGATTAGTATGGATTTGTGATTCAACATATGTATTAAAAATAATAATATTTTATTTATACCACGGGGGTTTTGTTTTCGGAGGTTAAAAACCCTCGCAAATCATTAAAAATGTATTAAAAAATATATATAACTACTCGTATGAATAAACTTGATAGAATGTAACTTCTTATTGACGATAGCAATATACTGTTTATTTCCTTCTTACATTTGCTGCATAAAATTTAATAAACACATAGTTTCCTAAACAGAGACATTGATAATATGCAAAAATAATTAGCCTAGCCCAAAAATAAAATTAATTCCAGTTGCAATGTTGCTAAATAGATCTCAGTTCCATAGCTACTTCAATGCAAGCATCTTTCAGATGAATACACCTACAAAATCCAAAAGTCCATCCAAAAGAATTCTAATGTCCAAGTGTGCCAATATTTATTTCCAAAGATAAAGTAAGGTGGGATGCTCTGGCAGTCCACTTCTTATGGCTAGCATTAATTGGTTAATCTTCCTAGAGAGAGAAGACTTGATCTGAAGAGTGTGAATGCATATTAGAGGAGTTTCCAATGATGTTCTCTGAGAGGATATATTGTAGGACAAAAGCTTCTAGCTACCAAAAGAAAGGATTGAAAAATGTACAAATAACATATTTACACATTTAGTCCAATGTATGTAAATGTAAATAACTTACGGTCTTAAGAAAATGCAAATAACTTATAGTCTAATTTTTAGTCCAATGCATGTAACATATGTACGGTACCATTGATTCTTCTAATGATATTTCTACATCATTAAAAGAGTTTGACTTCTTAGATAACAATGATTGTACCCTTCATTATTGATAAACTTAATTCCTTTATAGCTTCGCTTCAATACCATTTTGTAACAACAACCTGTATCAATTTATACCAGTATATATAACACTTCAATAATAAATAAACAAGAAACAAATGGCATATTAACCACTACATGTATCTTAACAAGTAATCAAACTTATCTCATAATGATTGCAAGTGGAAATATGAATCCTAGACAAACAAGAGCAGTTGCTCTAGTGACTCAATTTCATTTTTAGTTTCATCAATTATTGTCAATTGAATGGAAATGAACTGCTACTGCTAGCTCACAACTTAGAACTTACAAATTGGCCCAAATATGTCGGCTTCATCGCATCTGAATTGTAGGTTAAACCATGCTTATTTGAACCAAATAAAGCATATTTCACTTTGTTGTGGACAAATTTGATAAACCGCAGAGACTTAAATGACCCTACTCCTATTTTTTTTCTATGCCACGCCGCCATGGAGAGATAAATAAAAGCAATTAACTCATAAAAATGAAGAACAAAAGATGATTTTCCAGTAAACATCGAAGAGAAATACAAACAGGTGCATACCACTGCTTTATTTGGGTTTTCTAGATTGTTATTAGGATGAACCCACCATGTCTTTATTGCCTACATGTAGGAAAATACAGAGAAGAAAAATCCTCAACTTTTTTATCACAACACTTAGGTTACATTGAAAGAACAATGTGGGACATTAATTTTCACCTGTATAGTTGCTATGGCTTCCACACCACCAGCTGTTCCAAGTAGATGAATCAAATCTTGCTACTCCTTAAGATCTCCAGCAGGTGTGGATGTGGCATGTGCATTTATGTCTTTTCAATGCACATCCTCCCTTAAAACACTGGAGTTAGCTAATGCATTTTCAATGCAAAGAATAACACCAACCCATGTAGATGTGGAATAAAGACATTACAATGAGAATATTATACAGAAGATGTAGCTGATATAATCTGAGAATTATCATGGTCAAAATGCCATGAAGCAAAACAAAACAAAACATAGTTAGAAAAAACTCCAGGAGTGCTTCTATAATGTCCTATAAACATAGTTAGCAAAAACTTACATAAAAAATACAACATTTCTGTTTGGCCGTTACGAACGGCGCATCGTCTAAGAACGACGCATTAAGGGTGTATGAGTGATAGGACCGTGTTCCTCTTTTGCTTGTTTACTGCAAATCTTCATCTAACTGCAACAAAACAAAATGAATCCATCAAATCAGGTTTGTGTAAGTGATTAATGAGTTTCTATGCAGGTGAAAAGATTCGTTCAGTCATTTTGCCGAACAATTTCTATGTATCAAGAAAGAAGCCATTGAGAGAGATGTGTTTGCGAGAAAAATTGGGGAGTACAGTGATGGAAGAGTGATGGTAAAAATCAGAGATAGTTGAAAATCAAAGGAGTTGAAAATCATAGGTTTTCATTGAGAGAAAGAAGGAGAAAAGAGAAATGAAAAGAGAGGCGTATGTGGCAGCTAAGGTTTTTGTTGGAAGAGAGAAGAAAGTTTCTTGATATAATATAAAAAAAAATTAAAAATAACTCCAGGTCACCTAAATTACTGTCAGCTAGAATGCCATGTCTTATAAACTTAACAGATTTTAACAAAATTTAACGAAAGGTCCAATTGACTAAGAGAACTTGATTTAATGGACTTAAAATAAACGTTTATTAAAAAATAGTCGAAAGTGAAACTTTAAATTAAGTTAAAGGACCAAATGATGCATTAAGCCTTCAATAAAATCCTTTTTTTTTTTTTGCAATTTTCAATTTTTTAATTGATTTATGATTTTTATTTGAATTGGTTTGAATTTGAACACCCTAAATACACACCTATGTCCAGAGCTGGCAAAATGGGCCGGAACAACTGAACCGGTCCGAAAGCCCGCAAAAAATTCCGAGCTTGAACAAGAAAATTAGGACCCATTTATCATCTGGGATTTTAAACTCAGCCCATTAAAAGCCCGGTGTTTAACCAGACTAGCCCGACTGGATTGCGGGTAGCCCGGTTATTTATTTAAATATTTTTTTAAATAAAAACTATAATCCATTATACTATTAATGTCTATATTATTTTTTTATAAAAATACAAATGTCTATTTTATAATACATTATACTACTAATATCATTTTAATAAAAACTATAATACATTATAATACTAACGTCCATTTTATAATACATTATACTACTAATGTTGTCTCAACTTGAATCTTGATTATTTGATTAAAATAATTTATTTTGATGATATTTTATCTTAGATGTTATATATGTAATTGATTTATATTTTTTTAATGATCAATATTCATATATGTTTTAGTTTAATTAATCTATGATTTATTAATTGATTTATTTATTTTTTTTAAAGAATTACTAGAACATATATGTTTCAAAATATGCAATGGAAATAGATCCTTGGTTTGTACTGCGACGAAAGTCAAGTGAATTTGAATTTTTTTTTTGGGTCTTAATGGATCAGAACAAGGATTATAAGGCGAGTCTTAATTATTTTTGTTTGTGTCAGATTGATTATGACAAAGAATCGTTATTTTTATGTTTTCTTCGTAGTAATTTATTGGTTTGTACTAATGGTCTGGATGTCTTGGAGAAACAGTTTCATAAGTCATTTTTTAGCATGCAATTGTTCCAACCATAAGTCTTCTTGTTGACAAGTCTTTTGGGTTGCTGGGAGGGCTATGTTGTTGTTTTAATGTTTGTTGATCGTACCTGACCAGAATGGATCGTCAAGGTCTTACGTCGAGCTGAGATTAAAAGCGAGATGCGGGAGGGGGTACCTGCAAGACACTCTGATGCCAAAGTAAGTTTTAGGAAGAGTGCAAGCAAGTGAGAGTATGAGTATAAGAGAATGAATACCTGACCCTCTCAAATGAGAGAATATTTATAGCCCCCGACACTGGGTCAAGGTCCCCAATATTGGGCCACGATGAGACCCAACAATGAAGACTGTCAGGGCTTACGTGTGTATGGAGTCAAGCACGTGGACTCCCCCTGGTCAACTGCCACAGGAGAATAGGTGTTGGACCCGTGATTTTCAGAGGACAGTTATGATGACAATGATACAGACACATGGGCCACATTCCCTAACGGATGCGTGGGGAGTTGCCCAATGATCTCCAGCTTGGGTTGCTTGCCTTTGGGCCTTATGCAAGAGTGTTGGATTGGGCCTCCTAGTAGTGGGGCAAGTGCAGACCCAATCCAGATCAGGAGCCCCCCAAGTTATTACCCTTAGGTGATAGGGTGATGACTTAAGTTCAGCCTTATGGCCAGGGAGCATTTGCTCGAGAAGGGAGGTCGAAGTCCTCTGACGAAAACGAGTTAATGCCCATGTCGGGGACAACCTGTTTGACCGTGTCAGGGATCCTGTGGACAAGCGAGCTACGAGACCAACTGGGTTAGTTGTGCGTCCAGTGTTCGACGGGAGTACATAGGCTACGGGGAGCTTCCACAAACTCTTTTTTCGACATGCCCGTCTTCAAGGGGTTGTCACGATATCGAGCGTTATTTCATCCTCTAGGTGGATCGTGACGAATATGCCCGTATGCATGCTTTAGCCATGGTGTCGAGCATTCCTTTGCGTGAGGCATCTGCCTCGTGCTCGCGTATGGAGTTTTGTGTTGAAGTCGGGGACGTGTTCGTCTCTTAAGAAGGGATATGTGGCTGATTGTTGGGCCACATGGTTGTTGCTTTGGGGTGCCATCTCTTCATGGGGAGTCCAAAAGGTCCAATCTAATGATGACTTTTCGTGATGAACCTTGTGGATTGTGAGCCACCTATAAAAAGCCCCCCCCCCCCCCCCCCCCCGGGGTTTCATTTATCATTTCTCAAGTTTTCTTCTCCAACTTCTCTTGCTCGCGCGTGAATCCTCTCCTCCCAACTTCTCCAGATTTCTTCCAAGTATCCTTCATCCAAGTAAGTCATATCTCCTTAACAATGTATTTCCTTAGCATTTCTAGATTAAACATCTAGTTTTTGCCTTGACTAGATGAATCTTGGATGAATATTCATGAGTTCTGGGATGAACACTCATGAATATTCATTGAAGTTCATGAGTTTAATTTTCATAATGTCGGAGACAATCTCCCCGAATAGTGGAGGTTGACTCGGGCTTCTTGTTCATTTGACTAGATATCTCCAATAGAAGTGTAGTTTGTTTTAGTATGCAGTTGAGGGCTTAGGTCAAGGTCCGCTCCTCGACCGCTTCATCGTCCTTTCACTTGATATGCGGTGGAAGGGTGAATTTGATGATGTTTAACTCACTGTTTCCACCTGCTTTTCAGGTATAATGGCACACTCGACCGGGGACGATGTCTTGCCCGCCAACCACAAAGATGAAACCATCATCGAGGAGGACCCCTTGGCCTGGGTCGCGCCTGAGCCTCGAAATAAAAGGTCATGCTTTTTGCATGACGAAACTGACGCGTTCAACTGTCTGGAGGTTCGAGCCGAAGGGGCCCTGCCAACTGGATTCTCCAAATTCCTCACTACAACCGGAGGATCTGCTTAACATATCCGGGAAAACATTTTCCCATGTACGGGTTCGCGTTCAAAGAGGCGGGGATCCATTTGCCCTTCAATGATTTTTAAGTGGGGGTTTTCCAATGGCTTCAATTGGCGCCCTCTCAACTTCACCCAAACGCGTTGGCGTTCATGCGGGCGTTCGAGCTCGTCTGCCAATATCTGTAAATAGGCGCTACGCTGCCCCTCTTCTTCCGTATCTTTCACCTACAAAGGCAATTCATTGGAAGAGGGAAAGCGTGGGTGTCCTTCAAACAATTTGGGAAACTCTTTAGGCCTTATCTGGAGTCTGTCTGTCACTTCAAAGAGAGGTACTTTGTTGTGAAACCTTTAATGGACGCGGACATAGACTCCCTATAAACTCGCGTGGAAGAGGTGGAGGATGGGCGACCAGTTACCCGGCTCGTGGCCAGATTTTCGCTCAAATGAAAATGGAAATATTTCGAGCAAAAGCCCGAGTATTATGCTGTAAAGCCTGAGGATTTGGAAGCTCATGACCAACTCTCCTATGAGAAGTTGGTGGCCTATGTTAGGAGCTTCTCCCCAGCAAGGTGTGTGGACGTGAACAACAACCTCCGCTTCGACAACAACGGGGAGTACCTCTTATTTAATAGGGTTATCAACATGAAGGTTTTGCTCGAATGTTCCTCAGATGAGGAAGCCATGAGACTTTTAGGTAGGGGATGTGATCGCGATGATTATTTTTGTTTGTCTTTCATGCGAGGATGTGCCCGCGCTATTATCCTTGTTTAACCCATGACTGATGGTTTCTTTTTTATTGTAGGTCGGATGGCGTCCCTCTCCGAGCGCTTATTAAAGTTAAGACCCAAGAACGATTCCACCTCAGGGCCAAGGAACAGGGTCGCCCAACTCCAAGAGCAGGCCAAATCTACTGCTCGTGCCAGCGGTTCCCCCTCTTAATCAAAAACCCAGGTTCCCCCAGTGAGCTCGCCCAGGTTCCTCTCAACGAGCCAGAAACAAAGAGGAAA